GGATGTAAACAGCAATGAAGGAAGAAATTTGTATAATATTCCCTTAGTGGGTGAAAGAAAATGTAGCAATGGCACTTCATACAGTACCTGCCTGCAGTGCCAAAATGTGGAGCCCTGGGGCCAGCATCAGTTTAAGACTGTTGATTTTTTGTAGGTTCTTTCTTTTCTTTTTTCTTTTTTTTTTTTTTTTTTTAAATTAAGTCACTGCTGCAACAGCCTGGGGAATGAACCCCTACACAGATACTCCTGTTGCTCTTAATGGGTCACTTAGGATCTTCTCTGGTTGTATTGGCTTCTAACATTTGCAGTATCTAGTGGTAAAATGCAATCCTTAATTTCTTGTTTAGCTTCAGATTGCTATTCTAATCATACCAGAAGCAGCATTATCTTTTCTAATTTTATTATAAACCTTTCTAATAATTATTTTATATTTCTAATAAAAATAAAATGTTTGTAAACTGAACTTTAAGTCACAACTCTTGACCTTTGCAAGCAGCAGTGGGATCAGTGCTCATGAAAGTTGTAATTATTTCCTTTTCAGCTGTGGTTCTTATTTTGTGTTATTCCATCACTTTTCTGTAACAGTTCTTTTATTTAAGAGTACACCCATGCAACATACAAGAGTGGGACAGTTACTGCCCTACGCCCAGCTCAGTAGAACAGCCCAGAGGACATGCAATATGACACTAGTAGCTTCCTCCTGAATACAGTAAGATAACTAAACAAAATATTCAGTATCTGATATACCAAATACATCTGAGATACCAAAACATCTGAGATACCAAATACATCTGAGATACCAAACACATCTGAGATACCAAATACATTTTCTTGCAGAATATCTGTAAAACAAAAGCAAATCTTTCAAAGTTTAAGAGTTGCAGAACCAGAATATGCCGAGCCCTTACTGAGCAAGGCCAGGGAGCCCGGAGCTCACCTTTCTGCAGCCCCGCTGCAGGCTGTCTGCAGACCCAGACAGGAAGCACTAACTCAGCTGACAGTAAATTCTTGTTTTTTAGATTCCTTCTTAATCCCCTGGGCGCAGATCTGCTACTGTAACATGACAGGGAAAGGCAGTAACTGTCCAAACTTAAACAAGCTCCGGTTTAGTGATTATTCCTGTTGTGAAGCCTATGGACATCACGCATTCTCAGAAATGCCTTTTTTCGCCCCATCCTACTCCCAGTAGCCCAAGATGGGTTTTTTCTAGCTGCAGCTACACACTGGCTTTTTTACAGTCCTAGCCAGAGCTTCTTTGCTTCAAGGCATGCCAGGGGCCCTGGTCCTTTGGAGGCAACCAAGCACTGCTGGTCCCTGGGTGCAGATGGGCTGACAGCACCACGAGTGGAGCTCATGGGTCCAGGTCATCTCCAGTGGGATGGTGGCCTAAAGCTGCACTGTTTCGGGGCTCAGATGCGAGCAGAGACAGAGTGTGCTGTAGAGATAGAAGCTTAGAGTCAAACACTATAGGCACCCCTTCCCCAGGCAGATACCTTTATTTAAAGTCCTCATCCCTCTATTTTCACACAGGGCACCTGGGGTGTGTTTTCTCTCTGCCCCAATTTTTCTTCTGGGCTCAAGACCTATTTCAGAGCTCCGCTTTCCTAGCCTTTATTTCCTCCCTCTTTTCAAGCAGGCACCTCTACTTACATTGCAAGTGCAGGCACCAAGATCTGCCTGGCACTGCAGTTCAAAGCCTGCATTTTGGAGGTGATGGTATTCAACTTGGATTTGTGGATTTCCATGTTCTCAAGCGAAGGCCATCAAACCCACATCTTATGCCCTGGATGAGTTCTCTAACCTTTAGTACCTCTCAAACAACTTGGCGGTTATGTTTTTTTTTTATTTAGAAAAAGAAAATATTAACTCCTGCACAATTTTGTAAGCATAATATTAGTGTCTACCTCTAAAGAAACTTGCGGGCAATGGCTTTGGCCACTCCACCCTCAGATTGTGTATTATTTTTAATTCCCATTCTGAGATTTGTAACTCTTTCCCAAGCATGGGTCAGGGAAGCCAAGCCCAGAACTGTGTTCCAAATACCACTCCCAGGACCTAAAATTAAATATTTCAAAATATTTGACCACATATTTTGTCTAGTTCTTAACACTGTCATTGGCCTTTACCTTAAATTAGCTTTCTCTAGTCCTTGTAGCTATTGCTGAGATTAAAATAGCCCTAAGGACATTAAGGGAATTTTAATTTACAACTTGAGTATACCCTATTCGTGTTACCTTAATACCGAAGACCTAATATTTCTTGTAGAGTTTCTTTTTAATCAGTAGTGCAAAATATCAAAACCAAATGTAGACTGAGCCATGTTTCACTGGACAAAGCTGCCTTGTTGTTTAGAGACCAGTAGATGGCAACCACCTATTGCAGTGTCAAAGGTAAGTGGAAAGAGAGTTGTTTAGGTCGTGGATTTATTATGTGACAGCTGGAACAACAAAGCTCTGGTACTCCACATAAGGAGAAAGCAGTACTTTTCTTTTTACTTCTCCTTATACACATCTTTTGAAGGGGAACAGTGCAATGCCCTTTTATATAGTCATTTTTGACAAATTAGAACTGTGACAATCCATTTGACTGAAATATCTTATGGCTGCTCCTTACTGCTAATATCAGTCAAAAAAAGAAAAAGTCAATGGAAAAAAAATCCAAAGCAATCGGTCTGTCTTAGCTTCCACGGGAATAGCCTCAAGTTCTCATGATGATTAATTAGATTCATTATTATTTTAGGTAGAAACATTTAGAACTGAGTAACAATGATCCTGGGATTGGACATAGAACTCCCTTTAGGAACTGACTGAGGCTATTGACGTACCAGTTAATTAATCCTGGTTATCTGAGTGGTCTTACAGAAATTTTTTTTGACATGATCGAGTTTGAAGAAATTCTGATTCTTTCAACAACATTAGATTAAAAGTACTTCATTTCTAGGAGCAAGAACTATAAAGGTTTCAAAAGATCCTCTCAGGCCCTTCAAGAACCTTGCATTTACACTTTAGAAAAGAAGCTCCTTCATTAAAAGAGGAGAACAGTTGTAGAAATATACCTGTAACCTTACTGGAAGGATACTTAACCTGTAGTCGTATTAAGTTTTCCTTTAGCATTGATTTAACCATTTTTTGTGAATATATTTTCAATTAGGATTGGTATACATAATACATGTATGGATACACATAGAGGTAGCGTGTATGTAGTGCAGAAGAAAACAGACCTTTACACCTCTGAAGGATTCCAGCATTGCCTGTATATTGGTTTCGCATGGTAAGGTTTTGGTAGCAGAGAATCTACAGGGGTGGCTTTTGTGAGAAGCTGCTAGAAGCTTCCCCCATGTCCAACAGAGCCAGTGCAGCCAACGCCAAGACGGACCCACCGTTGGCCAAGGCCGAGCCCATCAGTGATGCTGGTAGCACCTCTGGGATAACATATTTAAGAAAGGAGAAAAAACCCTGCACAACAGCAGCTGGAGAGAGGAGCGAGAGTATGGGAAAGAAACAACTCCGCAGGCAAAAGGTCAGTGAAGAAGGAAGGGGAGGAGGTGCTCCAGGCACCAGAGCAGAGATTCCCCTGCAGCCCGTGGTGCAGACCACGGTGAGGCAGGCTGGGTCCTGCAGCCCACGGAAGTTAACGGGGCAGCAGATCCCCACCTGCAGCCTGTGGAGGACCCCACGCAGGAGCAGGTGGGTGCCTGAAGGAGGCTGTGACCAGCCCGTGCTGGAGCGGGTTTGCTGGCAGGACTTGTGACCCCGTGGGGGACCCACGCTGGAGCAGGCTGTTCCTGAAGGACTGCGGGTCGTGGGAGGGACCCACGCTGGAGCAGGGGAAGAGTGTAAGGAGTCCTCCTCCTGCAGAAGGAGTGGCAGAGACAACGTGTGATGGACTGACCACAATCCCCATTCCCCTGCGCTGCTGAAGAGGAGGAGGGACAGAAAATCAGGAGTGAAGTTAAGCCTGGGAAGAAGGGAGGGGTGGGGGGAAAGTGTTGTAAGATTTGGTTTAATTTCTCCTTATCTTACTTTGATTTAATTGGTAATAAATCAAACGATTTTTCCCCAAGCTGAATCTGTTTTGCCCGTGATGGTAACTGGTGAGTGCCTCTTTCCCTGTCCTTATCTCGAACTCTGTCCAGCTGAGGAGGGGAGTGACAGGGCGGCTTTGGTGGGCATTTGGTGTCCAGCCAGGGCCAACCCACCACAGCCTAACACCGTGATTGGCACTTTTAAAAAGAATACACTACAATAGCTAAACCAGCTAACAAGAGCACTGTCACTTAGTAGAAGTAAGACAAAATACTCTGCATTAGTGGGATACCTCCCTCCAAGTTCTCAAGCACTTTGCAAACCATTAACTTGAAATGCGTTAGCTTGCACCTTTGCAGTACAAGGTGCATATGTTTGTTCTGAGAGCTCACATTTTTGCTAGGAAGACTTAAAAAAACCTACTTCATACAGATAAAGTAACCTTTTGTTTTTGTTAAAGCTACAGCTTGATCAGCTGTGAATTTTTGAAAGTGACTTTGAAATCAGGAGAAATCCAGCTGGGATCCATTTCCTAGTGAATACTAGTGAGTTGGTATTAGGAATAGCTTCTAATACCCCTTACAAAACTCTCCAAACTTTTCTTACTATTTCCTTCATCTAGTAATAAGATTTATACTGTAAAAAAAATGTGCTCTTTAATGAAATTTGAGTTCTTTTTTCGCTTCTTTGAAGAAATTAAAGGCCTCCAACCCGATGCTAAAATTTGTGCAACTTTATTTGCTTTAACATGAGAAATTATGTGACTCGTATATGTTGTTTTTCTTATGGGCCCATGAGTTTTGGTAAGAGCTATCTTAGACTTTTCTTGCAGAAAACTGCAAAGCTAGTGGGATGATTAAAAAAAAAAAAAAAAAAAAGCAAGGAAAAAGAAATCTAAATTATTTAGAAGATGAGGAGTTTTTAGACAAACAACAAAAATACTTTTCTGTTTATATCCATGCTTTTTTTAGCTCAAATGGTTGAGGAGGACAGATAATTTTAAAGATTCAAGGTCTGATGCTTCCATGAAGGGCTGAGGAAGGTCTCAGTCCTGTTTTCTGGTACTCATCACAAAAGAAATCTGCAAGAGACTGCCAAGGACAGTAACTCTCCTTCTTTACAGTTGCAGTCAGTGAAGTTTAGTTTAAGTTCAAAGGAATCCATATGGAAATTTCCTTCTGCTCAATTCTTTGTATATGTCACAGTTCACAAAATACACCCTCGTATGCTGTTACAATATTCAGATTTATAGCAGAACCCTCCCCAAAGTCTGAAATTTTACATGTTAGATATCTAGGTAGGGGTCAGTGACATTTCCAAATATACTCTTCTCCTGCACTTTCTAAAATTTGAAAAAGCCAGAATTGCCTCCTGTTGTGCAGAAAAACAGTCTCTGAACTGTTTTTAGCAGAACATTTATTTGTCTTTGATTAAGACACTGTAAATGTTCCTCATTGAGCAAAGCCATAGCATGTTGGGTGATAGGCTTGTTTGTCTGATTACTTTATAGTGGGGAATGAAAATATGTTTGAGCACTAATGCAGGTGCTTGAGCATTGACTTCCAATCAGAGAATAAAGTACAGATTTGCATGGCAATTTTGCTTACCTGATCCTTATTTCAGATGCCCTTTGAAGCATAATTTAAAGGAGAGATTATCAGGGACACAGTCCAGTAAGGTGCTGAGTGATTCTGAGGTGGTGCTGGATGCTATCCAGTACCATTGCTTGCCATGAGATTCAAAGATAATTAGTCTTGGCAGGATCTGAACCATGGTAAATTATCAAGGTAAGACGGATAATGAAAGCATGCAAAACGTGGAAGGTGAGTTTGACAGTGTTCAGTGTGACTTCTGTAATTATTAACTTAACCTTAAAAGCCTGAGATAGTCCTTATTCAAATGCCTCAGTCTTATTCCACATTATCTCCTAACAACAGCTCCTAACATTTCCACAATGAGAAAAAGGAAGACAACAGATTCACCTCATTCAGCCACAGATCTAAGTAAAGGGAAGGAGAAATTAAGACTGAAGCAAGAGGTCGGTCTGATTAGTGGAGTGTCATTAATTGCAGGCACCATGATAGGCTCGGGGATCTTTATGTCCCCTGAATGGGTACTATATCATATGGGGAGCCCTGCCAGCAGCCTGCTTATCTGGGCAGCATGTGGTCTCCTGGCCATGTTTGGAGCCTTGTCGTATGCTGAGCTTGGAACCATAATTAAAGAGTCTGGAGGAGAATACATTTACATCTTGAGGATTTTTGGTTCTTTTCCTGCTTTTCTTTTCGCCTACACTTCTGTTATCCTGGTGAGGCCAGCTGGTTTGGCAGCTGTCTGTCTGAGCTTTGCTGAATATGCCACTGCACCTTTCTACCAAGGATGCTCATCTCCACAGGTTGTCGTCAAATGTACAGCTGCTGCCTGCATCCTGCTTTTAACTATCATCAACTGTCTCAACGTGAGGCTGGCGACATCTATTATGAACATTTTTACAGCTGCCAAACTCTTGGCTTTGTTGGTGATTGTGGTGGGTGGTTTGGTTCTGCTTGCCAAGGGGCAAACTCAGAGTTTTCAAAATGCTTTTCAAAACACAAGTGCAGGTATTGGGGCAGTTGGAGTGGCGTTTTACCAGGGACTCTGGTCCTACGATGGGTGGAACAACCTGAACTATGTAACTGAGGAACTGAAGAAGCCTGAGGTGAGTGAGTGAGCTGGGTTTTCCTTATTTAATCCTACTGCTAATATGTTTGATTCTATCTATAATTGTGGTAAGGTAATCAAGGGATTAGAGCATCGAAGAAAGACTTCTGAGCTTTCCTCCTGATTTGTTCTGTATTCTGAGGCAAGACACCTATGGATGTGTCCATAAAAGATAAAAATTAGTTTCTAAGCAAAATAACAGCCTACCTACAAGAAAGCACTAAAAAACCCCATTGACTGGAAAAAAAGCTATTAGGCAGCACTTGAATTCTTTGGGGATTAGGTTTTGTCTCAGTGTTTAGAGGATTTCACTGTAGACACCTAGATTTATGAAGAAAAACACTCACTGCTATAATCCATAAAGGTTTCTTAACACCACATATTCCCTAAAAGACTTGATCGATAATGTATGCATCAAAAATGCACTTATCTCTCCTCATTGCATGAAGGGGGAACTTCAGGGCAAGCCAAGCTTCACTGGAGAGGGAATATAACTCTCTGAATGACCTATGTCTTTAAACATCTAATTTTAAGGCATTGTTCTGTCCATGCTATAGGCATGGAGGAAGCTGATCTCCATCTCATATCAGCCCTTTCAGTGCTGTATTACCTCTTTTTACAGATCAGACACTACAACAGCAAACAACCCTTTTTTAGAAGGAGCTATGTGAGTGCAGAGTGTATACAGTGTGCTTTCTACCTGTGCAGCACACAATATTTTACAGATTAAATGAAAATACACAGTTAAATATTAACCTTAATGGCATCAAAGATCCTAGGGTCATGTGGGACTCTCTCCCACAGGGCCATGAGCACTGATATTCAGACTCTTGCAGAGTGGAGGCAACAGCATAAGAAATTGCTATATCTTGTCCTACAGTGGGAATGGGGAATGCAAAAATTGATACTTCAGGTTTTTAGATGCAGAAAGTTGCTTTAAGATCACCCAACTAGTTGTTTTTTTTTTTCCAGTGCTTTCAGATGCATAAGGTAGTGTTTGTTGATTTTATTGAGCCTTAAAATGATCTGTGGTGTTCCAAGATAGCATCCTGTCACTAGGAAAAAAAAAAATATATATAATTCCTTCCTAAAGCAAATCCCCTTTGTGCTGCCCTGCTTTGATTTAGACTGTAGAGGAGTTAAATGTGATGTAACACACGCTGGTACTTCATCCTTGTCTGTGGGATGTTCATGTGAAGATGAAGCACACCAGGAGACATAACACACTAGTCAAAATAAATCAGTGTTAAAGTAATCAAGAAGTCTGCCACAGACATCTTGGTCAGCTACAAACCAAAATCTTTTTTAATAAGATTTGGGGGTATTTTGCCTTTTTTAAAGACTAACTTTTGAAATGTACCACTTTACTGTTTTTCTGACATCTTTGGGAGACTGGTGTAAAAACTGCCTTGTGAATCTGGATCTAAGTCTTGTTCTGTGGAAAAGCTTAGTGAGTGGAGGAGTTTGAATGAGAGACGGGTGATGGTAAAGACAAAAATAAACAAAAAAAAAAAGACCAGTGCAGGCATAAAAGTGCTGCACCTAACACTCTTGTCATCCCTTTTCCAGGTGACCCTTCCCAGAGCTTTGATGATTGCCATTCCTTTGGTTACATGCCTGTATTTGCTGGTAAATGTGAGCTACTTAGCAGCCATGACTCCATCTGAACTGCTGTCTTCAGGAGCTGTGGCCGTCACTTGGGGGTGAGCTCTGCACGGGCAACACAGCTGATGCAGTCCAACAAAATACATGTTCTCTCCCAGGTTTCATGAGATTTAGGTGCTATTCTGCTCCAGCTCATGTTTTTCCCGATGGAAAGTGCCCAAAAAGAGGTGTGAAGTGCACACCAGGAGCATCTCCTCACAGATGGTGAGGATACAGCGAAGGTGCATATCCAGACATGGGGACTGGGAGATGCCCCACATTTTAGATATTTCCAGAAAAGTGGAGAGGACAACGTGCTGCCCCACTAATGTGGAGGCAGTGGTTTGGGAGTGAGACAGGAGACAACTGGGTGAATCCTGTTCACTTGGCACCTGGAAATTAGAGCAGACCAGTCTTTTGGTTCAGCTTCCCCATCTGTGAGGAAATGGAAAATGACACTGATCTCTACAGTACCTTTGAGAAGGAGAAGTGTTATGCACAGATTGGGTAGCTTTTGGTCATTATATCTTTAAGTTGGCTTCTGCTTTTCCAGAGTTGCAGAGAAACTATTTGTACCTTCCATCAACCTGAAGTGTTTGGTGATATTAAACAGGCTCTGTGCAAGACAAGGATTTTAGGAAGAGAAGGAAGGGACCATCATGATAGATGTAGGCACCATCGACTTCTAACCGGATGATCTTCCACTAGAACATTCAGCCCTAGTCTAAATATTTCCAAAGACACAGAATGCATGATAGCCCTAAATGATTCAGCTGGCAGAAATTATGTCACAGTATATCCAGAGATTATGCTGCTGCTCATCCACTTCCTAAAAAGTCAGCAGTGGCTTTGCTTCTTTGTGCATTTCACAAGATCTCCAGTTGAAGGTCTGACTGAGCTCTTGCTAGGTATGTTCTCTAATAGCCTTTCATGTCATTGTAAGTAGGAGCTTTTAAAGGTCTAGTGCTTTGTTTGAACAGCTTACAAAGCCTCACTAAGCTGCAGTGTCATGAACTTTCTCTGCACTTCCTTTCCCATCATTCCTGATTAACAAGTTATTTGTGAGCTTCCTCGTTTTTAACACATCTTCTTTTCCTGCCTGATTAACCTTTTCACCCCGAGAGTGCAATTATGGAAGGAACATTGAATTAGCAACCAGAAAGCTGGGCACTCAAAAGCCTGAAGCACAGGTAGATAGCCACAGGCTGAGCAGGGTGTAATGGCTGTGGTTCATGAGCAAGTGATGCAGCTTTTCAGGTCATTAAGAAAAGATGGGAGGAGTATGAAGAAACCAGAGGAGGACTTATCGAATTTAAATACATTTATCTCCCATATAAGAAGAAAACTGCCAGAGAGAAACATTGTTCAGTGGTGAGAAGTCCATGGACAAAAGGAGCTCATGAAACCCTCCCCAGCATTTCTTTGATGCCAGTGATTTAACAGCAACTGCAGATCTCAGTTTGCTCCTAAGAAGTTACTTGCAGTAGTCCCTGTAGTTCATTGTAGTTCATTTGGACCCCCCAGGGTCCAAACAGCAAAGCACCAATCTCATAAATGCGAAATACACAATTGCTAAAGATTTTATTATTAATTTTGTGATATATGTTGTTTTCTCTTGAGATCTTGTGGTTATGGAGTTGCTTGATCATAGGAAATGCCCAGATTCCATCATTTTGAAAAAAGGAAAAATTCTAGTTCTTGTTATTGCAAGTAGCTTAATAACTTGAAGCCTGAAGGACCATAACCCAGATATTAAGCTTATAAACTACATTTTTGAAATTATTCTGGTAGATAAGCTCCTGCCATGATTTTGGAAAGCCCAACTCTTCATTTTTGAACATTTAGGTGATACTAAGGGTACAAATGGCTTAAAGACATACAATTTATATGGAAGTATAAAGTGTTCTAAAAAACTTCTGAATTTTGGATTTTTGCCAATTAGATGAACAATGTGTTTGTTTGTGTATGTGTATATACATGTATGTGATAATTACCCCAAACACCAGCATTTATTACTCAACTAATATTCTTCATGCTGCTTCATTCCGGAAGACAAGCTTCACTTTTAGGTGAGAAGATTATCATATCTTCCAAATATTTACCTTGAACACTATTTGTAACCCTGCTACTTCTTCTGTTATGGAGAAAACAAACCATAAATATCTGAATGTGCTGAATTAATGAACTTCTGGAATTCAAACAATTGCTTTGTCTTAAGCCTGGTTCACAGAGTAGGAGAAATACACATATATGGGATTAAAGGGTTAAATTCTTATGCATATTGTGAAGGAGATTATAATGCAGGATATTTCTTCAGTTGTGGTGGGAACAGTTTTTCTGTGATTTCTAAGCTAATATTGTTGGCTGTTATAGCAGTATCTCCAGGATTCACACCATAGCATCTGTACACAAAAAGGGGGTTTTGTGGGTTGTGACTGCTTTGTAATTACAGTGTAGACGGATGTAGATATATATACACCAGGCAGGAAGAAAGGCTGCTTTTTCTAGGCAAGATAAAGTTACCAGTGACTAAATATTATGGGAACTGGAAGAAGGCTTTAAATCATTATAAACATTTTGGAAAAAGTTTCAGTGAGAATAATGGAGGGAAGAAACCTGTCTGGTTCTACGATGAGTATTCGATACATCTGTGAGCTGGATGTTATGCTGTGAACTCTTTCCCACCTCAGGGACAAAGTCCTGGGCAGTTGGGCATGGCTCATCTCCCTGTCCGTGGCACTGTCTACGTTTGGTTCATCGAACGGCACGTTCTTTAGTGGAGGCCGTGTGTGCTACATTGCTGCAAGGGAAGGCCATATGGTAAGGACGAAAAAAAAAGGGTCTGGCTTGCTTTGAGCAAATTTACCTTCTTGTGACACTAAAACAGAGAAGAAAACACCGCGTACATTCAACTGGTAGAGTGATAGCTCTTTGGTTATGTCTTTCCTGCTCAAACACTTCCTTCCCCATCTTTTTCACATGTAATGTGTATGTTGTCTCCTCTTCCTCAGACACCTAATTTCAGAAAGATACATAATTACATCTAACCTGAATTTTAAGAGCAGCTTTGAAATGAACAACTGAAATACTGCTGTGTTGGAGCAGCTGGCACAGGCTCTGGGGTGACCCAGCCAATATACCTGCCGGGGAGGGGAAACCTGGCCATGCTTGTGTAGTGTAAGGCACCCTTGCTCACGCCAGGAAGGTAGCCCAGCACTGGCAAGCTGCCTTTGGATGAGGTACTGACTACACAAGCTGGTCTCAGGGGTGTTCCAGCCTTCCCAGGAAGTAGTCCTATTCAGATACAGTATAGGATATCTCTGCTTTTCAAGTTTCATAGCAATTACAGGGTGACACTGATCCTTACATCTCCCCTAGCTGGGGTTTTTAATTAGTTTTGTTAGGTGAGGCCAAATCTGGTATCCCAGCAGAGGTCAGGCTGCTGCAGCTCCATGCTCGCTGTTCATCATGTATTCCCAGTGGGCAAACACACACACAAACACAAGTATATAACATATGTATACACACATACAGCAGGACACACAGATCTATACATACAGGCAGACTCAGCACTCACATGAACGCTTGCAGGACCTCATCTTGTTCCCTCTCCGGCTGATTGAGGGTCTGTCAGTGGGAAATATATATATAAACATATGCATGATGTGGGATCCTCCACCAGCTGGGCTTAGACATTCAGTCTTCCCAGTAGCTGCCTCTGGATCCCAGTCTCCTCAGCTGCTGATGCCTGGGCACAGAAGCCCCCGAGGCCACTGCCCCACTTCAGCTGCTGGTCCAGACTCCTCACTCGCAGGCACACCCCCCCACACCCACCCACACTTCTTCACCTTCTCAGTGCTTGGGCTGAGCTGTATTTGCCCTCCTCTGTTCTGAACGGGCATGTTGTGTTCCTCTCAGACCTTTCTGCTACTTTGGTGCTCCCTCCCCCAAACTATCTGGTGTTTCTGCTCTCAGGTGTGAAGGGTACCACCCCACACCAGCTCCACTCCTTGTACGTTGGAGGGAATCTGTAATGTATATGAATGATCAGGTTGGTGGAGATGACTGGGTTGGTAGTTACTGGTTTCAGTGGTTACTGGTTTTGGTGGTTACTGGTTCCACAGCTTCCCTTACTGATGATGGTATTTGCTGTATCTTGGCAAGCTCCGTGCTAAGCAGATCACAGCTGGTCTGAATTTGACCATACCAGACTAAGAGATGAATGCAATATGCCATTTCTCAGACACTCAGCTCTAGCAGAAGTCTTTGCATGATATTTTGGTTGGAAATTAAAAAAAAAAAAAAAAAAAAAAAAGTAAATCCAAAACCAAACCCCTTTTTCATTAAACTTTCTCAATGAACCAAGCAATAAAGACTGTAATAGTTCTCTCCGTGTTCTGGGACAAATCCTAGTGTGCTTTGTGGCTGCATAAATGTTTCAGGAGTAGACCTTGTCTCATTTTCCAGTCAGCCCAATAGAAGTCAAGTCCCAGAGAGACATGACAGAGGGCAGAAGGGTGGTACCATGCACAAGGTTCTGATGATCAGGAAAGCTCTGATTTGACTCAGCCTTTCTCACACTAGTAGTTTGAAAACCTCATCTTGCCTGCATAAACTGAGCATATTTGATATGAAATCAGTGAGACACAATAAAAATATCCTTGAGGGAGGCTTCCATGTTTACACTCCTTGAACTGCTTTTATATTATGCTTATTTGATGATTAAGATTAGCTCTGGCTGCAGGCAGAGCTCCCACCAGCAGCTGAGGGGGATGAGTAAGGATCTCTGCGTTTGTGATATGATGTATATTGTTTTGCTTTGGCTTTCAGCCAGACATTCTGTCTATGGCTCATGTGCGGTGCCTCACACCCTCCCCTGCTCTGCTGTTTACATCTACTGTATCTTTAATAATGATAATATCAGGAAGCTTCACCAGTATCGTGAACTTTTTCAGGTATGTATATGTAGCGTTTCTGTTTGCATCCATTGTGCTTCTGGTTTTTGACATTGTTTTGCAAGTATTTTCTTTATTATTTTTTTTTGAGCCTGGGCTATTGCTTTCTAACCAGTATTGTGGAGGGGAGGGGGGAAGAAAGAAAAGAAAAGTCTTGGGAACCAGCATCTTTGTAACAAACGAATGCTTCTGTCACTATACGCTTAACTGGATGTGATTCATCCTCATATTGAAATTAATCTGTAAGATTCGGATCATTCTAAAATTCTCATTGTTTGTGCTGAAAAGGAAATGAATGGAAGAACTACTAAATTTATATAATTAGTCTCATTTTTAATTGGAGATATGAACATCTGGGATCGGCAAGGCAGGCCTGACATTCCTGGATGATCTCACACCAAAAGTAATGCTGTCTTTTTTTATTTCTTCTTCTTTTTCTTCCAGTTTTATAGCATGGATTTTCTATGGCATGACTATTTCTGGTCTCCTGTATTTAAAAATCAAGAAGCCAGAACTGCCAAGATCTTACAAGGTGAAGTAATAATATAAAATCCTCAAACCCTTTTTCTATATTGCCCAAATGACTAAGAGGGCATTATGAGGGCTGGTTACTTACAGATTATGTGTGGTTGTCCTTTCTTTTTTAATTTCATGTTTTGTCTCAGCAAAGTCAATGAGGGGTAAGATAGTGTGAATATACAGGCATAAGTCAAGGTTGAATTCTCTGTCTTGATAAGCTAATAATGCACTGCCCCCTCACTGTGGAAAATATATCTACTATATCCTCTTTTTTTCTAAGAGATTTAAGAGGAAAATGAAGGATTATTCAGATCAACAATGCAGTCACCTGTTTATGCTCTCAGATCTTGGTCACACTCCTCAGAGGGTAGCCTGGGTGTAAGAACCTTGCAGAGAACAAAAAACTCAGCCAGAATGCCCCAAGTCATTTAAGATGGCCAGGGCACAGGTTTGTTCCCCACAAAACATCTAAGTAGAAGGCAATCAGGAGTTACCTGTTCTTGTCCCTTGGGCCATGAGCTGCAGTGCTTCCTCAGTGACTGAGGGAAATATTTTTACAGAAAAGATGCCAGGAACAGGGGACCCATGAGACCCTGAATGCAGGACAGTGACTTTTCTCTGAGACAAGCTGAATAAACATCCTGGTTCTCATGCTGTTTCTCCAGGAGATAGATGACAGGCTGACACTGCCAGGCTCTGTGAAGCAGTAATTAGTGTCCAATGGGGCTTAGCATGAAGGAGAAAAGCAGTGCTCTATCAAGTCTTCCAGTCACTGGCTTCTGTGGTTCTGTCCTGAAATTCGGATGCGGGAGGAGGACACTCACCCAGCTCGTTGGCTGAATGGGATTTACAGAAAAGAAGTTCTGTTTCTGAAATAGTGTTTCATACACTGTATAAAGCTCCTATGGTCCTCCAAGCCAGTCCTGTGAGGATGTCAGCCCGCTGCAGCCTTTGCTTTGATGGCCTAACTTTCCTTTACTGGAAGCAGCTCATGTCTGCAGATTCCAGGTCAACTGTCAATATATAACTGATGTCCTGCAGGATCTGTATGTGTGTTGGAGGTTTATATTTAGGGAAAAGATTTTCCTTAGTTTGAAAACAACAATTTTTATTAGCACTTTGCCAAAATTGTTAGAACACAGTGGGGAGGGATCAGAGTAGAGCATCCTACTAAGGCAGATGAAGCCCAGCAGCAGGTCTTCTCCATGCTCTCACAGGTAACCATGAACAACATTTCCTTTGGTCTGTGTCAGTGCCCTTTGTGTTGGACAAAAGGCACAAGAGTGAAAAATGGAAAAATCCCAGCTTTAACATACACTTTTTCACCTTGTGAAATTGTTTTGTCTTGTGCAGTCACTAGCCTTTTAAGGAGGGTGGCTTAAAATTTAAATTTAAATCCTTTCTGACCAGACTTGCAGAAATAGCCTCTGAGACTGCCTGTCCAGCGGTCAACACATAAATAAACCTTTTTGCCCAAGGGTGCTAAGGTTATGTGATTTGTGCATGTTGCTCTATGTTTTGTCTACAGTTCAGCTTTTGGATGCAAGGTACTAGGGTGAGCAAGAACAGACATGACACTAAAAACATTAGTTTGCATCTTCAGGTTTAAGAGGGCAGGGAAGACCAGGGATTGGGGGTGTGGTGGTGGTGTAGCTCTTGAAGGGATATTCAACGTTGGAGTGGGGATGGGCTGGGAAACACGATGTCTGGATTAATTGGGATTTGTAGGCAGTACCTCAAGTTGCAGCACAGTTTCATCTAAAAAGCCTTCTGCAGAAGTTTCAGAGTTGTTGAGACCCACAGTGGCCCAGAATTACGTGGTCTTTATGCCAGTGTTTTGCTTTCACAGGTTCCAATTATCATCCCTGTAATCGTGCTGATGGCAGCTGTGTACCTGGTGTTAGCTCCCATCATTGATCAACCCCAAATTGAGATCCTCTACATTGTCCTGTTCATTTTCAGTGGCATCATTCTTTATTTCCCACTAGTTCGCTTCAAGTGCCACCCTTGCTTTTTACAGAGAGTCACTTTACATCTCCAGTTGTTCCTGGAAGTTGCTCCGACCACCAGGGATGCAGACTGAGATAATGTCCTCCTGGCATATGGCTGCCTGCCCCTCGTGGTTTATCCTAGCACCTTGGTTTTCAAGGCTCAGAAAATATTTTTCTGTAAGGGAGAATGAGTAGAATACAAGTGTCACTAAAATATCTAGCTGAGAAAGACTACAGCCATTACTTGTCATGTTTTCTTAAAATTCTGGGGACATGCTTTTCTCATTTTCAGCTCTGCCTTGGCAGATTACATACAGATTCCAAAGGAATATGTGCTTTTGAATTTTCCATCCCAGGAAGAACTGTTTGTCAAAATCTTAGCTCTTATATTTCAAGGCAACAGACAGCAGAAGACTGACAATGAAATATTACTTCTATAGCAGGCTGTGACCCTAAGCCATTCCTGGCAATGCCTTTAATTTTTTCCACCTAGTTCTGCCTACTGTGACCACAGAGCTTCTCAAATAATGCATGGACACACCATGTTCACAATAAAACAACATTTTCTACTCAGGTATTCGCTCTGGGAGTGTGCTCGTTCCTTTATTCTGTGCTTGTTCCCTTGTTCCCTCCAGTCACAGGTGCACAGTCACAACAGTCCTCTCTCTGTCTCAGTACATGGTTCCACCACATTTCATCCCAAATCATCCTACATCTCCCACAAAAAAAAAACTCTGAGTGAGACAAGTGCTATAAAGCTCTGTTAGTTTACCTGGCTGAGAATGCACTTGTTATCTGTGATCCATCCATTTGTGGTGAGGACACAGGCAACATCACTTAAATATTGACAGTGACCCAATACCCTTCCTGTAATTCTCCCAAAGACAAGTAATTTTTCTTGTGACGAAGTGAGCAAAAAAACCCCCAATCTACAGCATATATGCCAACAAGATACTCTCATTTTGAATGAAAGAAATCACATACTGGGCTACATTAGGAGAAGTGTGGGCCAGCAGACCAAGGAAATACTCTGTCCTTTTGGACTCAACACTGATGAGGACACACCTGAAATACCGTGTCCAGTATTGGGCCCTGCTGTTCAAGAGGGAGTTGTGAAGCCATCAGAGCCAGGTTCTTCTTGGTCATGGCAACTAGGGGCAGCAGCCACAAATTGTGGCTTGAGATGTTCCAGCTGGACTTCAGGAACATTTTCTCACCATCAGGGCAGTACAACCGTGGAGTAGTGTGCAGGACAGTGCTGAGATCTCAGTTCTTGTACATTTTCCACCACAGCCGTTTCCACCAATTTCCATGATTCTAAAGGCACAGCACAAGAAAGTCATGGGCTGTACTCTCACCCATGCCTAACACACTGCAGTCGCTGTTGTTTCCCATTACCCTGAGGCTCAGCCCCTTTTCTCTGATTCTAGGGCAGAGATATATGCTGTTTTCTTCCTATTTATCCAGATTGTTTCTGGATAGGACCTGTCTTGTCATAGTCTGAAAAGGTCTGGGTGTTAGTCCCTAAAATGTCTTGTTGTGTCTCAAAGTATTGAATGTTACCCAGGTCAACTTTCTGTCAGCATTTCTTCTGCAGATCTGTACTTAACACTGCATTCCTGAGACGGGGTCACTGGGGTCACTTGGTTCTCCAGGCCCCTCCCAGCCCTTATCAGAGCTGTGTATCTGATTACAACCTCATTCTGCAGTGCCACCCCTTCTTTTCCTCTGAGTGGTGATACCAGCAGCTATAGAGATGCAACAGTCTTTTTTTCCAAGTGTTAGGTATGATAATGGGATTCCCCAGTTGCTGCTCATCTTCTAAATCCTTAGCTTAAACAGTGTTTAGGAGGATTTCCTTCCACTGTTTTTTACTGGAGTTGTCAACAAAGGCCAATGAAGGAACAGTTTTCCCTCCTGAATCCTCTAACAATGCAAAATTCTTGGGTTGCCACCTTGTCTTCCTTTCCTGTATACACTGATGGAGACTGTGCACTTTACTTAAAGGAACAGTGAGCTCAGGAGCTCTAGGTTAACTTCCCACCACTGCCCTAGGCTCTTCATCTGATATCAGGCAAGATTCTTAAATGAGCTGTATCTCAGCTACTTATCTAAAAAATTAGGATAATATTATTTCTCTGATTATAATTTTTTTGAAACAGTCTCTGTTTCCCACACATATTTATGGAGCCTACCACATGGGACTGTGCTCTTTTGAAGATCTACAGTCCATATACAAAAAGTGGGAATTTAAAGACTTATTTAAAGGTTAGACATGCACAATATTTGTGGCTTTTGCCACCTATCCTTGCATACCTAAGTGCAATCAGGGTTGGTATTGTCTGCACATAATTCTTGTGGAACAGGAGTTATAGTCACTTTTATATTATGGGTGTAGTATGCTATAGATGATGAAAAGATGAAAGGACTAAGTGGCTTACTCAAAGTCACACAGAAAATGTGTGGAAATGTGACTGTTTCTCCCAAGGTCCAGACAAGCATTTTTATCATGTAGCCCATCCTTTCTCTCTGTGCACCTGTGACACACAAACAATATTAATGAACACAAAAAGACTTAACACTTTGGATAAGCAGTCTTTGTATGTTATATGTTTATGGATATAGGGGAGCTGAAAAGCTGCAAGTGTAAAATTTTGCACCAGTCTAATTTTCTATAGATATTATTGTCACAAGACTTTCTTTTTATTTATGTCGCCTAGGGTTTGCAAGCACAGGTGTTTATAATGCCAAAACAGGATGCTGAAAGCTCAGAGAATGCCAATATAATTACAATAAAATGGACATTAAAATGAAGTGAGTTGATGTGGTTGTTTCTGTTGTTCATCCAAGAAAAACAATTCCATAGAAGTTTTATTGCATGAACATAAACAATCAGCAGCAGGCTCATCTCTCCTTGGATGGAAGGTTTAACTACATGCGCGGGTGCTTATATGTGCTTACACTCATTTTTCAAAATGATTGCTTATCTATTTCAACCCCAGCATATGCAAATCAGAACCTCTCTTTCTTTCATCAGACATTTGCAATAGAAGTGTTGGGAAGAGGCAGCGTGTCCTTACCATTCATTACTACAGCACAGTCACAAACGTGGTGGTGGGCAGAGCTCTATAGCTGCCATTGTGTGTACAGGTTGTACTGTAAGATCATGCTGGTCCTGTCTGTCTCCGAAGCTCCAGATCCCTGTGACCTGCCCTTCCTTCATGGGCTCTGAGGAAGACTGGACTATTAACATTGCCCTCAAGATAATCATAAGATCTACACTTCACCTCAAGACCCTGAGTATAATTGAAACCCACGCTTCAGCTGGCAACCTGCAACCACCAGTTGCAGGGTTCACCTTGGTGCGTAAAACTGAATGTATTCTGGATCTTTTCCTGACTTCCTCAGAAGCACCAGAGCTGGACTACACCTTGGGACAGTCAAAGATGGTCCAGTGTGTGAAACAGTACAGAAAATCCTCCTTTGGTGATTTCCTGAGAAGCCTTGATCATATGACCAAGTTGAAGTGATTGTCACCATTTGTGGTTGAGGATAAATTTCTCCATGGGTAAGAAAGAACAGAATTCATCATGATTTTAATTTTCCTCTGTTGCAGAAACACAGTTCATCTGCTTGGAATACCTGGGTTTATTTTATCAGTTCACTGCCAGTGCAGAGGGTTTAGTGTTCAGTCTCTCCTGCTCTTTCTTGAGACATAGGGAGTAATGGACTCACTGCAGACTCTCAGCAGTGCTAACTTGTTCTCCAGGTCATCATGCTGAGGGCATTGTAGAGCTTCTGTTTTCAGAGATTAAATAAATACAGCCAACTCTGGGAATCATCGGCTGTTGAAGTGTGGGTTAGAATTGACCTCTGGAGGTCACTAGTCCAACTCCCTGGTTTGAGCAGGACTATTCCCTATACTATATTAGGTCACCCATGACTGTCTCACCAATTATTGGAAAACACAAAGGATAGAGAGCCCACCATCTCTCTGCAGTGCCCTCCTGATAAAGAAATATTCCCAAAGTCCAGTCTGAACCTCTCAAGCCACAGCTTGTGGCTGTTGCCCTTCACAGTATCATATGCTACTGACAAAGAGGTAAGGTCCATCATTTTTGTAACTCTCCTGCGAGGAGTTGTAGGCTGCTGTTAGATTACCTCTTATCCTTCTTTTTGCCAGACTCAACAAGCCCAACTCCCTTATCTCCTTTACATAGGTGATGTGTTCTAGGCCCCTAACCATCTGCTGGACCTTCCCCAGTTCCTCTACTTCCCTTTTGAACTTGGGAGGCATCAGAAAATTGGATGCAACTTTCCAAGCGTGCCCTCACAAGTGTCGAGCCTACAGGGACATTGATGTCCCTTGATCTGCTGACTGTACTTCTCCTAATGTAGGCCACTATGTGTAATCCCAGCTCCTTTCAGCCAGCCAGTTCCTAGCCTGTACTGCCACATGGGGTTATTCCACATCAGATGCAGGACTCCTGCTTCTCACTGCTGAACTGTAGGGTGCATCTGCTGGCCTAATCCTTAAATTTCTCCAGGTGCCTCTGGATTGAAGTTCCACCATTTGGCATGTTGGCCAATCCCCCTAATTTAATAGCACCCGCAAATTTTCTGAGAGCACATTTTATCACATCATCCAAGTTGCCCATGAAGATACTGAACAACATTGGCTCCAGGTTCAATTCTTGTGGCACTTATTAGCAGCTGCTGACCAGATGTCAAGTCACCAATGTAGCCTTATCTTGCTGTGTAAGGTACACACTTCTAAGAGCTTCAGCTGACTCAGTGGAATGCAAAGGCAAACCCTTATTTTATACATTTTGTGCTAATATTAGAGATTTTGGATAGGCTGTGATAAATCTACCCATCAGGATGACTCAGTTTAGCAGCTTAGAGGGATCTGTATCTTGCACTTTATCATTTATTGACTAGTTAGTTGAATGTCATTAGGGTTTTTGTGTATGTAACTCATTCCTCATGGAGAAACAATTTTTGCTAAAAAAGGATGCAGACGCAGGGTCATGCAATAAACAGCTGGTCCTAGGCTTGTGAACTAGCAGTGAGACTAACAGGTAGTGAAATA